TTATTCTACTCCATGAGACCTTTCAAATGACATATGACACATGACTATCCAAGCTTTATGATATTTTTGACAGAGTACATGGCACAAAAAACATATTTTGTAAATTATGATTTTTTTTTGTCATTTATCAGCAAATAACTCAGCAATACTTTGGAGCGGCTAAATGCATTGTAAAGCTCAGATTCTGAGCTTTCAAATGATATACATTTTTTGTTGATCAAGGCAGTGGTTTGAACAATATGATTAGTAATATTGTCGCAGAAGGGGGCATCCCGCACTGAGACCATACGGCATAGAGGTGCGTCCCCTGGGTGGTGGATAGGGGATCCCTCGTGTGGGGGTACACCGAATAATACGGAATAAGGTGTCGTGAACCAACATGGTCTAAGGGAAGGAACCCTGACAGAAAACCACTGGTCCTCCTAGTAAGGGGGTTGGGCAGCAGGCTAACAACCTTCTCCCGTCAAAAATGATTGTTACAGATACCATGGACATTACAGATAGAAGTAACCAGGGTGAAGCTAAGATGGCCAGTGATGGCAGCAAGACGGCATGGGATCAAAGCCTTCGGGAAGCTCAACGTCCGATAACATCTATAGTAACACCCAAACAGTGTTAATTTTGACAGCAAATTTCGATTAAGTTTTAGTCATAGTCTTTTGACTAAAATTCCATTTAGTTTTAGTCATATTTTAGTGATCTGAATTGTTTTTAGTTTTGGTCGACTAAATATCATAAGATTCTAGTCGACTAAATCTACAGTAAATGTAGTCGGCTAAAATCTAATAGGTTTAGTTACAGTGTAATGCATTTATTAAGCATTTCTCTAAAATTTCCAAACTCATTATATAGGTTCGATATTAAGGTTTTATCATGTAGACTACTGTTTACGTTCACTTAAGACGTAATCAACTGTGTTTACGTGAATACTCGTCAAAACGGACAATTCGACATCATTTTGTGTGTAATTCTCCGTCCATGCAACGTGAAAGAGTACTCGCGCGCTGTGAGACATGCTTTGTGTATATAGTTTCTGCGCTCAGAAAACCGGACCGAATTGAGTTCTCTCTTGCGTCGTCAGATTTATCAATATGTCTGCTCTTCTCTTACTCCCACATATTGACATTTTTTGAACGTTTTATGCGACGTGCAGCAAGTGTATTTTAGCTTATGTCCCGCCGGTTCATATGTACGCATAACCTCCAAACCACGCAGCAGATTAGTTCTGAATGAATCTCATCCCAAATCGTGCCTCCCTAACATGTTCGTCTCATTTTTATTCGTTGACGAAAACGTCAATAGATTTACGTCATAGTTTTTGTCATTCAAAAAGAGTTTTAGTTCGTTATCCTCTCATTGTCGTCGGTGAAAAAAATGTTAACACTGAACACTAAAATTAACACTGCACCCAAACAAGAACTCTCCATCGGGCACTGGAATGTCAGGAGTATGTACAGAGCGGGGGCAGCCGCACAGATCGCCAGAGAGATGGATCAGTACAAGCTGGACCTGCTTGGGATCAGCGAGTGCAGATGGACAGGAGCAGGCAGACAGAAGCTGGCAACAGGACAAACAGTGCTGTATGCAGGAGATGAGGAGCTGCATAAAGGTGGAGTTGCCATACTAGTCAGTAAACAAGCAGGGAAGGCACTGATAGAGTGGACACCTGTCAGCAGTAGGATAATCACAGCAAGATTTTATTCTCGATTCAGGAGACTGACAGTAATCCAGGCGTATGCCCCACACAATGAGCGAGCTGATGAGGAGAAAGAACAGTTCTATGAAATGCTGCAGCAGACTGTAGACCAATGCAACAGGCAAGACATAATCATCGTGATGGGGGACTTGAATGCCAAGGTTGGCCAAGATAACAACGGATATGAAAGGATAATGGGCACTCAGGGCTTGGAGTTAGAAATGACAACGGTGAGAGGGTGTGTAAATTCTGCGAGATCAATGGTCTCATCATAACTGGCACATTATTTTTGCACAAGAACATTCACAAAGCAACATGGGTATCAGCAGATGGAACGGTGAAGAACCAGATCGACCACCTTATGATCAGCGGGCAGTGGAGGTCCTCCGTCTTGGACACCAGAGTGCAGAGAGGTGCTGATGTGAACAGTGACCATTATTTGGTGAAAACGAGAATCAGGTTGCGACTCTGCACAGGAACCAGAAGAAAGTCAAACCAAGACTGGATGTTGAGCGACTGAAGGATGAGGAAACTGAAGGGATGAAGGGATGAAGACCATTTATTTTCAACAGGACAGGTCTGCCCCAAAAACTTGTCCAATTGTCTATGAAATGTTATTCCGCGGGCACCACTTAGACATCCAGCCATTGAGTGAGGACAGTCTGCTATGTATCTCATCACCACAATATGCAGGGAGGGGACCAGAGCATATTACCGATTCTGACATCGTACTTGCAAGTTCACACACCTCTTTAATGTTATTTTTAGTGATCTCCGACTGGCGAAGTCGAACATCATTAGTGCCAACTTGAATAGCAATCTTACTAAATTTACATTTAGCATTCCCTTGTGAAAAATAAAAAATAATAAAATGTATTTGAAATACATTTATTTCATGCTAAGTATACTACAGATACATTTACATATTTATGTACTTAATAAAAATACCCTGTAATTGTACTTTTGGTATATTAAACTGGTATACTTGAAGTCCGCTAAATTGGAACAACTAATAATGCACTTTAATTGTGCAGACGTAGTGCTGAAGTCCAACTAATGATATACTGAAGTATATTTGATTGTTCTAAATGTGACCCACTCTTAAGTCTCTTGGGTATATTTTTAGCAATAGCCAAAAAAACATTGTATGGGTCAAAATTATCAATTTTTCTTTTATGCCAAAAATCATTAGGATATTAAGTAAAGATCATGTTCCATGAAGATATTTTGTAAATTTCCTACCGTAAATATATCAAAACTTAATTTTTGTTTAGTAATATGCATTGCTAAGACCTTCATTTGGACTACTTTAAAGGCGATTTTCTCAATATTTAGATTTTTTTGCACCCTCAGATTCCGGATTTTCAAATAGTTATATCTCGACCAAATATTGTCCGATCCTAATAAACCATACATCAATAGAAAGCTTATTTATAAATGTATGTATAAATGATGTATAAATCTCAATTTCAAAAACTTGACCCTTATGACTGGTTTTGTGGTCCAGGGTCACAAATTGGAACTATTGCACGTATACTTAAGGTACACTTTAAATATATTGCATTTAAAGACCGATATTATTCAAAGATCATACAATCCTCATCAATAGTGATATTAAAACACATTTTAGGATTAATACTAAGAAATGTGCATTGTGCACAAGTAGTACTCCAAATAAAATTTGATTAAAATTTTTATATCAGTAAGTGTGGAGTGGAGAACCTGTTTAATGTTATGATCGGAATGGAAGAGTGCTGTTTTGTCCCGTGACTATGCCACCTCACAGTCACCCATTTGCCCTGCTGCGGGGGCTCTGCTAATGGAACCGAACAATGTACAGGACTCGCTAAGCTGTTTGCATCCAAAGCCCAATCTAAGGCCCTCACATTCTTCCTATCATCAATTAAAGATTGGATGCATGTCTCTAGTTCTGAAATCTTCTTTGTCAGCCTAACTGACAGAGAAGATTTCAGAAAAAGTGTGAAGGTAAGCACAAATTACAAGTTAACTGAAACTGTTGTTTTAGCGATAACGATTTAGGTTGCATCTCATTCAACTCCCTTGCTCCCGAGCTCGTGAATCAGTATATCGTGTACACGAACCCGGTCACTGGTAAGTACCCTGGCTCACTCCACATTGGGACAGTGATTACTCAATTTCCAGTGACATGACTTCGTACAACATCAACGGACAACATTGTAGAACGTCGCCGCTGGAATTAATCAACAACAGGCAGGACCAATTTCGTTTCAATATTATTTTTTATTCTCTTTAACCCCATTGTTCTGTTACATGTCCTTTAAACATTTCAACCGAATATTAATTATAAATGATAGATGTGTTCACTACCTGTCTAGCGATGTGTTTACGCTGAAATATAGTAAAAAAGGGTTTGCTTTTCAAATCTTCTATCACGTCATTTATATTTATCGAGTTGGCTTGTGTGGTTTATGTTTCATGCTTCAGAAATGTGACGTAATTTATGGTAAGGGAGCATAGTGATCATCGATACTCCCTAGTTTTTGCGGTGCATTGTGGGATTTTTCATGGAGGATTTTGCGATTGAGACAGCCCTTAAAATGGCTGACTCTCTGATCAGTGCCCTGGCCACTGAACTAGGAAGCTGAATGAGGTGCACCCTTAGACAAAAAAAAGCTAGCGATGTCAGATTAATGTGATCGGCAATATTAGGTCATATCAGATATGTGGTCATTATTAAGTTAAATTTAGCAATTTAAACAACAAGAAATAATAGGAATATAGAGATTTAAAACAAGGTGTACAGTACAACAAACGCAAACCAAATACATTTTTAAATGTACAAATTTTAGTAATTTCACCAAAAAAAAAAAAACTACCCAAATACAACACTCGTGTGACGTTTTCTTGTATAGGCAGCAAATTTAGAAACTTTTAACATGTTTGAAAGGGTAAATGAAGGTGACACACCATGTCGTCCATACAATCAGTTTTAATACTGTGGTAATTGTAAGACCTAGAAAGAATTTCAAAGTTGTGAAAACATGTCAATCACAGTATATAACTTATATAATACAGTATATTACTTGAACCAATACCAACCACAGGCAGTCAGAAAAAAAACAAAGGTAACAAAGCCATCAAAATCTAAATTGAAAAGAAAAAGAAGAAAGAAAAACAAAAACTGATTTACAATATTTATATACCATGAAAAACGATAGGAAAGGAAAAATTACAAGATAATTAAATGGTTAAATGAATACTAAATAAATATATGTGGAAACCCACTAAACAAGTACACAAAACGAATGCTTGAAGTTTTTGTTGTACATACTTAACATGTATTTTTCTTTACTGTGGTGGTAACAAACCTCATTAAAAGGGTGGAGGTAGAGTTACCTTCAGATGTCTGTGCTGTTAAACCACATGTGTTATTATTCAGGTAACAAGAGAACATGTCAGTAACTGACAAGTGTGTGCTACTGTATTTATTAAATCAGCAAAAGGAGTCAAGCTGTGTGGCTGCAAGCGTTTCTGATTTAAGGCCCCGTTCACACCAAGAACAGTAACGGTAACTTTAACTAAGTTCTACAAATCTTTTTAAATTTAAGAGAATAGCAGAGTTCATATCACAACTATAACGATATACGTGAACGGGAACGGGAACGAGTGAAAATCAGGGCTAAACAGTTTAAACAATGCCAACTTAAACATTAACAACAAGTGTCTTTTACACTTGTCTCTGATATACTGTTGTGGTTGGCATATTATATGTATGATTACATGGTATCTGTGGCACTGGCAGCAGTTTAGTCTTTGTGACATTATTTTCATTACAATTAAATATCCACACCCACCACTTTCAGTAGGTCAGGAAAAGAAGAAAGAACATTATATTGTGTCATGATAAGAGTGAAGTACATTTGTAAAGTACATAGCAATTATACATCTTGGTAGTGGCAGTGTTTGCTTGTATTGAATTAAAATTATGCAAATTTTACTAAAAATACTTGTGTCAGCATAGGATGGTTATAATTCCTGTATTATAGTAATATATATATATATATAATCAGCTTAATTTTGTTCATGTAAAATATAATTTATTTTCTTTCTTTCTTATGGGGTGAAATATGACCCAAATCATTTTTTTTTTTCATTAGATTCACCCATATGCACACTCATATTCACATACTCCACTCAGAACTGGTATAAATTAATATTCTCCAGTAGCTTTACATTTGTTTTGCAATCAAATATTTGGTCAAACACACAAAATACAGGCCGTCCACACATGAAGGTTGGATGAGATCAGTCAGCAGAATAGATGGATACTTCGCTCCCATCCTGAGAAAGAGAAAGAAAGAGGGATGCTAAACCAGGCACACTCTCAGTCAATTAGCTTTCATGCTCTAGAGAGCACAAAGGGCAGTTCCATTAGCTCAGAAGCACTTATACCCCTACAAACCCACGCCACCCACTCTCCTATAACAACACTGTTTTTTGAATATTAATTTCACACAGGCTCACCTTAATTAAGCATTTCATTAGCATGTAAGACAAAGGGTGATTCAATATGACACATGAGTACACCTGTGTTCCTAATGGCTGTCAGATTTTGCATGCTTGTGTAGGATAATAAACTATCATGTTTTGCACTGTTTGCTTCAGACCTTATACATTAGTGATTGGTTTAATGCTTAATATTCATATAATGTCACAATGTAAAAACATAAAATGTACAGTTAACCTAAAGAACTGTTTTTCTGATCTGACACTTAAAATCATTTTCCCTGATATAATCCATTGTAGCTATGTTGACTTGATTCATACTGATAAATATAATTTGACTTAAACCCAGTTTCATGTATCAGTGATGTAATGAATGAAAGAATGCTTAATTAATTTAGAGAAAAAAAAAAAGTTCTGTAGAAAAGACAGAAATAACACTAAGACTATTCTGTTGCGCTGAGAGTTTAATATAAATAATTTAAAAACGCACAAAATCACAAATGTGCTGGAAATAATGTCTGAATGAGCCCCTTGTGTTCAAAACACACAATGAGTGCTTCTTTGTAAATATTCAGGATACTGTTCAGATTCTCAAAATTACTTTTGACTAGTCTCCCTACCTATTTTATCCTTAAATTGAACAGAGAAGCTGCAACAGTCATCTCAGATCAGCATAAAATCAACGAATAAAGTATTGACGCGATATTGGACCAAAAATGCCCCAGGAGATCAGCCAGTAATGAGCATTATTTCGTTTGTTGCCAGAGGACATTTGTGCTCATTTACCTCATCTGTCCTGCCTATCAGCATATGTCTTTTGATGGGCACTGGTTTGACAGTCTGGATTTGTTTTGCCTTTTCCCTCTTATGGAGCATATCCAGTTTCTCCCCATTCAATTTGCATACTTATTTGTGCGATTTTTTGTGATATTATATTATAATGTTTAACAATGAAACAATAAAACTATTTACATTTCACACTTGCAAATTGTTAATTAGCTGGGTGGATATTTGATTCAATAAATTAAAATATCTATCTAATACCCACCCAACAGCTAAAATTGCCTGAAAATACATTGTAACCATACTTACTGAACATTTTCTGAGACTTCCTCTTATTAACCATAGGTCTTATTAACCAGCCCATATTTCGTAATTCTGTGTGTCAGGTCGCAAATTAACACTATCATTATAATGCACTTTTTGCTTTTCAAATATTATAAATAAAACTTTCGATTTCAGCATTTTTTTATAGGCCTGTAGTCTGTTCAGTAGGCTGTATTGTCTAAACAATATTTTTTCTTAGTTAAGTATTGATAGCACATCCTGATAGATAACATTACAATAGCAATTCAGATGCATCAGTGATTTTATGTAATTAATTAATAAATGTATTTATTTATTTATTTATTTTTTTTCCTGAACCAATAAAACTGTCTACAGTACAGGGTGAAGTTTGTGCTTAAGTGGTTCAGAGGAAACAATAAAATCACATGCTGCACTCAAATATGACTCTTCCCTATTATATAGTATTCAAAAAAGTATTCCAAAAGAGTAATATTTCTAAATAGATAGTATTCAAAAACAGTAGGCAAAAAGTAACCAAATGACCAACTACTTTCAGCCAGATTCATGAATATGCATTCGATGGACACTTTACTATCTCATGAGGCAACAGGAGAGGAGTTGTGAATGGCAGGTAAGAGTTGCAACTGATGCCATAGATCACATGACAAAGAAAAAATGTAGTAGGGCAATTGTAACATTTTTTACATTTTCCTTCATAACTCACAGATTACTTGAAATACACTAGTCATCTTTTTATACAATAAACAAATATAGGTACACTAATTAATAATACAATTGATATATTTTCACTAATAAGGACAAGACTAATATTAAGTTAAATGCAAGAAGTCAGAGTGTTATAATTGCCCCCTTGGTGGGGCGATTGTAACAGTGTTTGGGGGCAATTGTAACACTGAAAAATAAGTCATATTATCCCACTGTATCTCAAGTTAAAGCCTACCTCAAAGTATTCACTTTACTGCTGTACTATCAAATGTATTTATTTATTTATTTTTTGTAAATGGTTCAAATTCTTTTAGATGTCAGGCATCATGTGCATTCAAAAAGCAATTTTTTTTTTTTGCAGAAGACAAGGCAACTATTCTAGTGGTAACTAGATTTTAATTATTTAAATATATATTTTACTTATATACATTAATCAGCTGATGAGTCAAGAACAGTCTTTAACCAAACTTTAATGAAATGGTACAAGATAGACATATTAACAGAATAAGATCACGTGGAGATAATATTCATTGTATTTTTTAAAAAGATTTAAAAGCAACACATTGTTTAATGTGTAACACTAATAATTTTTAAATGTAGATTTACATTTAAATATGTTCATTTTCTAACAGAAAAATATGTCAACACAGACAAACAAGGTGTTTACACTGAGCCATGTGGTTAGGGGCAATTGTAACAATGTGTTACAATTGCCCCTGATGTTGCAGTTATGAATAAATATTGTATGCTAGGTAGACACACCTATATTACCATAGGTTGTTCATGTTAATTTTTTTTATCAATAACCTACAGATAAAATGTATGTAAGTTTAAATTCACAGTCATCTAAACTTTAAACAGCAGAAGAAAAATACTGTACATCCAAAAAATAACTTTTATACCTCTAAAATCAGTATTTTGTTGAAAACTTCTGCTGAGGTGAAATGATCATGCTCCTTTTCCACAGGCAGAGAGAATCCTACTGAGCATGTGCAGATTAAGTTTCATCGCTCTAGCTTGTTTCTGATTGGAGGAATTGAGTGTGTTACAATTGCCCCGTTACAACTGCCCCCTGGATTGCGTTTTGTACATTCATAGTAAGGCTGTATCCGAAATTGCATGCTCTCTGAGTATACTTCTTTTGAATAAGTAATTACTTTGTGACCATTAAAATAGCATGTTTTATATAGTATGACTGTGTGTAGTATGAATTTAAGACGTAGTCTAGGCGTAGGCCTACACTGTAAAAAAAATTCTGTAGTTTTTACAAAATAATTTTGGCAGCTGTGGTTGCCAGAATAATTTTGTAAAAAAATACAGAAAAACTGTAAACACATTTACTG